CCTAACAGCCTCAGGCCCTTTCCAGGGGGAAAAGGAAGGGGCCTGAGGCTGTTAGGAATGGTGGGAGTTAGAGTCCAAAGCACCTGGAGGGCCCAAGTTTGCCCGTGCCTGTTATAATTGGTTATGGCTCAGCCTCCTTTGATTCTTTTTCCTGAGGGGCTTAGAAGTGTTGGACATCAGTCCCCATTATCCCCAGGCAGCGCAGAAGATGGCTAGTTCTCCCAATGAGCTTCTTCCTGAGCAGCACTGCAATGCCCTAATGGCCGTTCTCTTTGCCTCCCCCCAGTGGACACAACGAGAACAGCACCCTTGCCCAGGACTCCGCGGCTCCAATGTGGGGCTTTGGCGCCATCCAGTGGGCGCGTCAGGAAATTGCATCCTACAGTTTAGCCATCGGGTTTTTTGTTGTCTTTGTGCTGTCGCACGCTGGGCCTGTGCATATGACTATAGACAGGACATAAATTCAGTGTGCCCAACGGGACGCCGGGGCTGCCTCAGATTAAAGGCCCTTGGACCTCCCCAAAACAAAGTTCTGTAGAGGCTTAAAGTAAGTCCAACAAAGTTCTTTATTGATGAAAAACAAACAGGTACTTACAGGGGCGGCTCGTCCATTACGCGAAGTAAGCGGTTGCAGAATACTTTTTTTTGCCGGGGGCGCAGAGGCGCCTCTGTAAATGCCCCTCAACCGCCACTTGAGGAGCACCCCCTCAGCTCACAACAGCCCTAGCAGTCCGGGGGGAGCCTTGGCTTTCTTGCCTCGCTACTGGCCGATGCAAGAAGTTGCCTCTTCCCAAAGGGGCCGGACCCTTGAGCCTCGCCTAGCCCCTCTCGTTCCTGCTCCACCCAGCCACCGGGTGCGCGAGCAGAGCCAGTGCTCAATCGTTCTCCGCGTTCGATCCCCATGACCGGCTCCCTTTCCTGATCCCGCAGCGCTCCACCCGCCTCCTCTCCTCTCCCCAATCCGTGGGTGGGCCAAGGGGCGGAGCCACCGCGTCTGGCCCGCTTCAGGTCCGGAGGCGTGTCTGAAGACCCCAGCATGCGCACCAAAAGTTGCCTCTTCTTCTGACTTTCTCTTCAGCCATTGGGACCAAGAGAGAGAGAGAGAGCCCCTCCGGCTGGAGGTATCTCCCACCTCCTCTCCCTCCTTTGTTTTTGCACCTACCTTCAAGAAAGTTGGGCATCTCCACCTCTCTCTCTCTCTCTTGGTCCCAATTGCTAAGGAGAAAGTCAGGACAAGAGGTGACTTTTGGTGCACACGTCAGGGTCTTCAGGCACGCCTCTGGACCCAAAGCGGGCCAGGCAAGGGAGCAAGTGCGGCAAGTGTAGTTACTGGGATGTATAGTTCACCTACAATCAAAGAGCATTCTGAACTCCACCAATGATGGAATTGAACCAAATATGGCACACAAAACCCCCACGACGAACAGAAAATATATATCAATGATTGGTTGGGGGGGGGGCACCAAAATACTGTTTGCTTACCGTTGAAAATTACATAGGGCCGCCTCTGGGTACTTAAAAGCTTTCTTAACAGTCTATTGGCTCTTGCAATCTTGTTCACTGGGAACGGGCACTATCTTCATAACTATATAATAACTAATGGGGAAATCCTTAACTTCCAATCTGGGCAGTCTGTACCAACTGCGTCTGGCTTCCGTGAGCGACCCTTACCAAGCAGAGCTTTGTAGACTTCCAGGAGAAAAGAAGGAATTCAGGTTGCTGTGATGGCTGGCTGAAGTCCCCCAGCAAAGGAGCTGAAAGGCTGTATGATCCTCAGCCAAGCTGTGGGCTGTATAACCCCGGCCAAGCTGTGGGCTGTATATCTCCCTGGCCAAGCCGTAGAAGATGAAGCTTTCTACAGGAGCTCTTCGTTTTATGTCCTGTGCGAAAGGCTTCTCTGTGAGAACTGACTCAAAAAGGCTCCTATTCCCTCCAAAACTCAAAAAGGGGCAGGACCAGGGAACCTAACGATAATTGACAGGTGGCTTGCCCTATGATTGCAGCCAAAAGAAGCCACCTATCTGCAGAGTCCCTGAAACTTGGGACTATAACAAACATTCAGTGCAAAGCAAACAAAATGGGAGCTTCTGGTACAGCTGTACTGGCACAGTCTTATTGATAATGTTATATGTTTATGTTTTATTTTAATTGCTTGTA